AGCTATTGAAATTAAGAAGGTAAAAGAATGTTTTTTGATTCATTTTTTTCTAAATGATCATGAAAAAGCTGCAACTTTTTTAAAAGTAAACCTGCTGTTTAGTGAATAGACCCCTAAGTCGTTTAATTAACCAGGATTTCTACATTGAGTTTGAGCCATATGTCCAATGGTATTTAAAGCAGCATTAGCCACACTTCTGGTCATTATCTTAATTAGTTAAACCTCAAGAAATACGCCACGCAATAATGAAAAATAATGAAGCAAACGTATACAGTTGAATGATTGTGAGAATATTAGGAAAGATATGGGATTTACTAATAGCACCAATGGGAATGTTGTTTGAAAGGAACAAAAAAAATTGGTTCAATTGGTTATGTATATCTCCTCTTCCCTTCAGTTTGAAATGCGCCAGAGAGAAAACAGAATGCAGCAAGCTCTGTTATTACACTGGAACATATTGTCACTGTTATAAACAGCCCGCGTTCGTTGGTGCTGCCAATTATTCCCTAGTCACTGTTTTCTTATTCAGATTGATCTCCTCCTGCTTGAGGCGGTTTCACACCCATGACTCTGAAATATCCCTTGTGGCCTGTTGGCTAATTAACAGCAAAATTCATCTTTTGATGAAATAATGCTGCCAGTGGAAAAAGATTTTAATATTAGAAAAAAAATAATAATAATAAAAAAAATATATATATATGTATACATTTTGTTGTCTACATATTCTAACACTAACATTAAGCAGAGAAAGTGTTATATCTAGCAATTAGCATTAATTAAAGGGAGAAGGACCACTTAGCAGAGACAAAGTGACATATAACACAATGACAAAATTAACCTTTCTTCTAGAGAGCTATATTCCAATCCTGATGATGTGAATTGTGTTTCTTGTGATGGTCAGCCAACTTAACGTAGGGCTGAGTATCATGGGAAACTGAGTCCACAGACATCTGGAGTGCCCAGTATCCTAGTGCAAATGTATGCTTGCAAACAACACAGATGTTGTCTCCTCTGTGCTGTGATGCATAACAAAATGTTTTGCAAATGCAAGAATAATTAAGGAAATTGTAATTGTATTTTGAGATGTCCAGCATCGACAATAGGTATCATAAGGATAATGCAGTCTCATTAAATATATTTGATCATTGATATTATATATGTCAAGCAGCAGAAATAGACAAACACCCAGGGCCGGTGCTTCCTATAGGCCAATAAGGCGTCCGCCTAGGGCCTGCGGCTTTATGAACGTCTGTGCCATCCCTCTATCTAGGTTCCTCCGTGGCTGCCCCTCTATTATTTCCAGCGTGCTGTCGGCCATGTTCCCGGGATCTAGGGAGCACTTATATTGCTGTTCACTATCGCCTGGTAAAATATCAGTCAGGTGGCATACCCATCAACGCGCTCAGACCCCCTCCCAGACATTCATTGCAGCAGGTGGCAGCAGCGCAAGGGCGCTTTAATTCCTCACTCCCACCCCTTGCCCTGTATGCAGGGCCATCTATAATATGAATAGGACCCTGGGCAAAGCATTTTCTTGGGCCCCCTGGGCCCTGCCCCCCCACCAATTACACCCAGACATACTGACACATACACACACAGACAGACATATTTAAACATTTGCTGATACATACTGACACACACATACACTGACACACAAATATATGCTGGCAGACATATTGACACATGTTCAGACATACTGACACACACACAGACACACATACATACATACGTACACACAGACACATACACTGACAGAAATACTGACACACACACAGACACATACACTGACAGAAATACTGAAACACACACAGACATATACACTGACAGACATATTGACACAAACACACAGACATGCTGACACACATAGGCATACTGACATACACACACACACAGACACACTGACACACACACAGGCATACTGGCACACACAGACATACTGACACACACAGGCATACTAACGTACAAACACAGACATACTGACATACACACAGACATACAGACAGGCACACACACTGACATACTGGCACGCACACACACAGACATACACACACAGAGATATACTGACACACATGGGCAGAGCGGAGGGAACGAGGAGGGCCATACCTATGGATCTGTGAAGAGATATGAGGGGCTAGAATTGTTCAGTGCTTTATATGTATGGGTTAGCACTTTGAATTGACTCCTATAGGATACAGGGAGCCAATATAAGGACTGGCAGAGAGGTGAAGTGTGAGAGGACCGACTAGAGAGGAAAATCAGTCTGGTGGCGGCATTCTTTACAGACTGTAGTGGGGCAATACGGCTTTTGGGGAGACCAACCAGGAGAGGGTTACAATAATCCATGCTGGAAATTACTAGAGAATGGACAAGCTCCTTGGTAGCATCTTGTGTAAGAAAGGGGCAGATGTTTTTAAGTTGGAATCTACAAGATTTGGCAACAAAGTGGATGTGAGGCTTAAAGGTGAGGCCAAAGGAGGGGTGGGGCTGGACCGCCGAGCTGAATGGTCACAAGTTTGAGCAGCTCCTGCAACTCACCAACTTCTTAAACCTATAAACATGAAATCCGAACTAACCATAGACCGACAGCATTGGCCCTCAGTGCTAAGGGGACACTGGATCCAGGGTGAGGCAGGCTCCTCAAGTTTCAGTCCCCTGGAGGTGAGGTCTTTGACGTCCCAGTTGGAGCCTTCGCCGGCGGTGAGTGGGGCGGACGGCCGCTGCCCCGCTATCCTGCCTGACAGCACACAGCCAGAGGCAAAGCACCAGGCAGACCTGGCCCTGTTCCCCCCCCTATGGACCAGTGGGGGTGATCCAGGTCTTCACTCAGAGGCTATGCAATCCAGGCCCAATGACCCGACCACCCCCAATTGGGGGAACAGGCGCAGCACACAAGATAGCGGACGCCATGTGCGCCGAGGTGGATGTGAATGACTGCTCTCTCAATGAGCCCACAGCACTCAGTGAGGCTTCTGAACAGAGACTCAGGGGGTCGGAGAAGTCTGCGTCCTCCATACCCTACAAAGCAACCCACCAAGAGAGCCCTTACCTGTCCCATCAACGAGTCAAGCAAATGGCAAACAGAGACGGAGACACAGCCGAGCCGTCGACAGCCGCGGCACTGGTGGGTCGGAACACCGCAAAGAGACAACCCCCACCAGGAACTTACGACTATGCCGCCAAGCAAGGTACTCTCACAGCGGGCCCGACCACATACCCACCGTACACATGACCTGCAGCGCAGCAGACCCAGAGAGGGGTTCCACGTGGCACCCGGCAACAAGCCTATCTTCCTGATGCCCAGACTTGGCGGTCTTGGTCCAACACGACTTTGGCCCACAGGAAACCTGCAAATGGACTTTGCCCGGATCCCTACCCTGGTGGACAAGCCTACCCTGCCATACTGACACTACCGATTGGGTAGACGACTCCCAAAGCCTGTACCAGAACATGCATATTAGACCAGCCAGGGTGACATACCACATGCAGCTTACTATTCAGACCCAGCATGCTAACACTTCAAGTTTAGGGGCTCACTATACCAGCATCACCTCTTACTACACACATTAGGCATATCAGGCATATAAGCAGTTCACCTGGCTACTACAAATTGTTTACTGACACAACTGCTAGCTAAGCAACCGATTAGCTTACTCATAGGATGCACCAACATCACTTCTTTTACAAGCTACTAAACTGTGCACATGTGCAAAATGTCAACCATCACTGGTTATTATTCATGCTTAGTAATAGTAAAATTAGGGTCTGAATATCCTAAATAGGAATACTATTCATAAATAAAAATGTATACAAAGATATTTACAATCCATTAAACATAGATTGTAAACCAACGTATTAGCAATCTCTTGTAAATGACAAATTTATAATGAAATATAATAGAGCGTTGGTGCAGATTGGACAAACATACCTGCTATAATGCAGAGTCAATACCGTATATAGCCCATGCAAATTGATCATTTCACATGGCACAAGGCACGCTACTTGTTCAGCTCTATTTGGAGATTTGTTACAAGATCTTTCCTTTGTTATGCTGCAGCTTGATTACTTTGTACCTAGACAACAAACCTGCTACAATACAGTGATTCTAATGTATATAGCTCATGTGAATTGCAAAACTTTGTATGCATTACTGGATGAAGGTTTCTGAAAACTTTTGAACAGAACCTCATTACGATTATACACTCTCAGTAATTATCATGTTCACCTCATATTTTTCTGTACATACTTTAGTTTATTTATTTATTTAGATTTCTATTATGACCTATTTCAACCTGGGAATTTGGCCATTATTTTTATAGTGGTCCAATATTTACATATTTCATTATAAATAGGTCATTTACAAGAGATTGCTAATACGTTGGTTTACAACCTATGTTTAATGGATTGAAAATATCTTTGTATACATTTTTATTTATGAATAGTATTCCTATTTAGGATATTCAGACCCTAATTTTACTATTACTAATAAAAGTTACATTTTAAAGGCACTCACTTTTTCTTTTTCACTACTTCTTTAGTTTCTGGATTAACTCCTACATGAGTACCCTTTAAGCTTCTTCTTTCTCGCATTACTTTTTATTGATGCTTAGCTCTTAGTGTGCCCCACTTTACTTTCCTACGTGTTTCCTACTCTGAGAGAAAAAAATAAAAAATGTGTAATGTTCATTTCATGCACAAATAAAATAAAGAATTTAAAAAAAAAGTTGAGGCCAAAGTCAAGTATGACGTCAAGACAGCGTGCTTGCAATGATTGACTTATGTGGATATCACTAACTTGAAGGGAGAGCGAGAGAGGAGGATCGGTATTAGGAGGAGGAAAGACAAGGAGTTCAGTTTTAGAGAGATTGAGTTTCAGAAAGCACAAAGACATCCAGTCAGAGGTGGAAGAAAGGCAAGCAGTGACACATTGCAGGACGGCAGGGGAGAGGTCCGGAGAGGAGAGATATATTTGAGTGTCATCAGCGTACAGGTGGTAGTGGAATCCAAAAGAGGCTATAAGTTTGCCAAGAGAGGCAGTATAAAGAGAAAATAGAAGGGGACCAAGGACAGAGCCTTGGGGAACTCCAACTGAGACAGGACGAGAGGGAGGAGGTATCCTTGGAAAAGAAGACACTGAATGAGCGCTGGGAGAGATAAGAGGATAACCATGAGAGGACAGAGTCACAGAGACCGAGCGATTGAAGAGTTTGAAGGATGAGAGCATGATCAACGGTGTCAAAGGCAGCAAAGAGGTCAAGGAGAATTAATATGGAGTAGTGACCTTTGGATTTAGCTGTGATTAGGTCATTAGTAACTTTGATAAGAGCAGTCTCAGTAGAGTGGAGAGGGCGGAAGCCAGACTGAAGAGGGTCAAGGAGAGAGTTGGAATTGAGGAAGCGGGACACACGGGTAAAGACAAGTCTTTCCAAAAGCTTTGAGGAAAAAGTGAGCAGAGATATGGGATGATAGTTAGAGGGGAAGGTTGGGTCAAGAGATGTTTTTTTTCAGGATAGGTACTACAGTGGCATGTTTAAGGTCAGCAGGGTCAGTGCCAGAAGAGAGAGAGCAGTTGAAGATGTGTGTCAGGTAAGGCACAAGACAAGGGGAGAGAGATCTGAGGAGGTGAGATGGGACAGGATAGAGAGGGCAAGTGGTGGGGCGAGAGGAAAGTAGAAGCGAATGCATGCATAGATTGAGATTAACATTTTCTTTAGTAATAATTAACACAAATTGATCAGGTGAATAATTGAGAGATACTATGATAACTTTTTTATGTGGAAGAATATTATTTTATTTTATTTTGTTTTATCTATCTATCTATCTATCTATCTATCTATCTATCTATCTATCTTTATAAATGTGCAGGAGAATACTGAAAATGGACAACAGCTCAAATAGCCTACCCTTCAGTGGGTCCCTACTCAGATCTCAACTAGTTCTGGATAGCCCTTATGGGTGGGATGAGTCTGATGTGCAACGGTATAGGTTCTCTGTGCAATGCTTTCCTATGGGTAATTTACTGACACTGGATGTCCTTATGCAGAGCATAGATCAAATTAAAGGAGATTTTGTCTACATGAAAGTTGTCTTTACTTTAACACAATTTGTCTTATCAGATCCAGTAGACAAGTCCAGATACTATTCGGCAAAATATATTATTCAGGGCTAAAATAGGAAATAAATGTACTTGCTGTTTTGGCAAATTGGAGTTTTGCATTTTCTTTTTAATTAACAGTAAATTAACCCCTTAAAAGCAGCTCCAATGTAAAATGATAAAATTGAAGATTATATTAGCTTTAGTGTACTAATAATCTTAATTTTAGTAATGACAGGAGGCGAATATTTGCATAACTTTCTTTACTGAAAACTCCAGCAGCATAGAAACATAACAACCAATCAGAAAAAGTTATGAGGCCCTGTCTATGACATCACTTCCTCTTTCTTTGAAGCGAAAACAACAAATAACAACCATAAATAACGTAATCATATTAAGTTCCAACAGTTCAATAACACAATAAAGTTTCAATCTCCAGTAGATCCTTGATGTAGAGTTATGGAAGATGAATCCTTGTCTTGTTGAGAAGACGTTCACACTGAAAGAAAAGAAAAAGGTGAAAGGTCTCTGACATGGCAAGTTCCCCACATATCATAAACATTAAGAATCTGACATAACAATGGATGCCTGAATGGATAATTAATCAATACATTTTAATTCTAAAATTATGTTATTTAATATATCTAACACTCTTAAGGTACATGTCTAATTATTCAACCCTATACAATCCTCTTAAAAGACCACTCTAGGCACCCAGACCACTTCAGCTTAATGAAGTGGTCTTGGTGCCAGGTCCAGCTAGGGTTAACCCATTTTTTCAGAAACATAGCAGTTTCAGAGAAACTGCTATGTTTTTGAATGGGTTAAGCCTTTCCCTATTTCCTCTAGTGGCTGTCTCATTGATTGTGATTTTCACAGTGAGAGCACGCCAGCGTCCATAGGAAATGGACTCTGCCATTATGAATGCTTTCCTATGTGACCGGCTGAATGCGCGCGCAGCTCTTGCCGCGCGTGCGCATTCAGCCGACGGGGAGGAGAAGAGGAGGATCGGAGGAGGAGAGCTCTCCGCCCAGCACTGGAAAAAGGTAAGTTTTTACCCCTTTCCCCCTTCCAGAGCCGGGCGGGAGGGGGACCCTGAGGGTGGGGGCACCCTCAGGGCACTATAGTGCCAGGAAAACGAGTATGTTTTCCTGGCACTATAGTGGTCCTTTAAGGTACATGTCTCAGTATTTAACCATATAACCATATATACTGATACATGTCTTACTGAACATAAAGGATGTATTCTATTCAACCTGATTATGATATGGGAGGGGTTCTATAGGGTGGGAAATATTCGCCTCCTGTCATTACTAAAATTAAGATTATTAGTACACTAAAGTTAATATAATTCTCAATTTTACCACATGTCAGGAGGCTTCATATTTGCATTTTTAGAGCTTAGAATTAACCAATGTGAAGGAAGCATGAGATGTTTGACAAAAATAAAACATCCTAAATGTACTCTCTCGCGACCAATCCGCGCAACGCATAATGTCGGCTAAGGAGGCGCCTGCCGATAAAGCTTGTGAGGCTGCCACACCTCCGACCGAGTGTGCCCCGAAGCAAGGTTCAACGCCAGCTAACGATAATACCCATCGTTAGCTTCCCCTCGAGGTCCTGTCAGAAGTAGAGGGAACGTCGGTAGCAGTAGTGGGGTTTGGCGAGACATCTCCAGAAGATCACGAAACCATGGTTGACTCCGCCAGAGGGGTGTTATGAGAAGGAACGATATCCTGTAGTTGCGTGTATATCGAAGTACCCGTGGAATCATGGAAAACGGTGTGAATGCAAATGCCCCTTGTTTGGGCCAGGTTTGTAGAAATGCTTCCGCAGCTTCGCCTTTCGGATCCGGAAGCCAACTGTAGTATCTCAGTAGTTGGTGGTTGGTCCTGGAGGCGAACAGATCTATTATTAGTGGGTCTTTCCACCGTCGTAGTTCCTGGAATATCTCTTTGTTGCGTTTCCAATCGCTGTTGTCCAGTTGCACGAGAACCAGTCCGCAGTCAGATTGGAGATTACCGGCAGATATTCTGCCTGTAGCGTCATGTTCCGTGCTAGGCAAAATCTGTAGATGTCTTTGTGGCTTCTGTCAGAGCTCGTGATCTGGCTCTGCCCAGGCGGTTGATGTACTGCACCGCCGAAACATTGTCCATGCGGAGCAGAATGCAGCAGTTCGACCTGCCCTTGGCCAGGCTGCGGATGGTGAAGGACCCCGCGATCAGTTCCAGGCAGTTGATGTGTAGGTCGGTCTCCTCCCCTTGCCATGGGATGGCGCCCCATCCACATAGGCTGGCGTCCGACTCCACGATG